TCTAAGATCCAGCTGCCTTAACCTTCCTGCCACCTACTGGTCCTGGTGTTTGTATTTCTTCTTTTAATTTTAACCACAAATGGTTTCACAAGAGCAAGGAGGTGGTCTATTGTCATCACGTCTCATGGATAAGGATCAGTAGCTGAGGGCCAGTCCTATGGCCTGGTGGTTAAGGGAGCTGGATCCTACATGACTGACTTCAGTTTGGACCCTGGCCCCAGCTGCGGAAAAGCACACCAGGTACACGTGCATGTGTGCCCCAAATCCTAACAGGATGGAGAAATGGTGAAGAGATTACAGCATGACCAAGCCCCATTGAGGGTGCTTTCTCTAGCTCCCTCTCTCTATATATATATATTTTTTAATAATTACTTATTTTATTTTATTTATGCATTCATTTATTTTAAGTTGACCAAAGGAAGACACAGAGAGAGAGGGAAAGCGAGAAAGCAAGCTACCAGGCCCAGGACTCGAACCATGGTCAACCATGTGGGAATGTCCAGTGCCTTCACCACTATGCCACCTGCTGGTCCCTCTCTATATATATTTCTCAGGTGAGTGCATGTACCCTCTGGTCATTAAAATTTTTTAAAAATTATTTTATTTAACTGTATTTCTTCATTTATTTACTTATTTTCAATTTGGTCAGAGGGGAACAGAGTGAGAGAAAGCGAATCAAGCCATGTCTGGGACTCGAACCGCAGTTGGCCATGTGGGAGTCCAACACCCTTAACCACCACTCCTCCTGCCGACCACTAAATAAAATAATTCTTAAAAAATAATATTGGGACCAGCAGTTAGCATAATGGCTATGTCGCTGGACTCCCACGTAGTTGACCGCAGTTCACATCCCGGACCCGGTGGCTTAAAACTCACGCCAGGCGCATGTGCATGCGTGCCCAAGATTCCGAGAGGAGAATGGAGGAGAAGGGATTGCGGCGTGGCCATCCCCCCTGGGGGGTGATTTCTCGCTTTCTGTCTCTCTGTCTCTGTCTGTCTGGTGAGCGCATGCGCCCTATAGCAAAAACCTCTCCAAAAAAACAAAGAAAAAAAAATAAATAATATTGGGACCAGCAGTTTAGCATAATGGCTCTGTCGCCCCATGGACTCAAGTCGACCGTGGTTCAAGTCTTGGACCTGGTGGCTTAAAACTCACGCCAGGTGCGTGTGCATGCGTGCCCAAGATCCCGAGAGGAGAATGGAGGAGAAGGGATTGCGGCGTGGCCATCCTCCCTGGGGGGTGATTTCTCGCTTTCTGTCTCTGTCTGGCGAGCGCATGCGCCCTATAGCAAAAACCTCTCCAAAAGTAATAATAATAATATTTAATTTTATTTATTCATTCATTTATTCTAATTTGACTAGAGAGAGACACAGAGAGAAAGAGAGAGGATTTTTTTTTTTTTTTTAAATAATTATTTTATTGGGACCAGCAGTTGGCGTAATGGCTATGTCACTGAACTCACGTGTAGCCGACAGCAGTTCGAGTCCCAGACCCAGTCGCTTGAACTCACACCAGGCGCGTGTGTGTGCATGCCCAAGATCCCAAGAGGAGAATGGAGGAGAAGGGATTGCAGCGTGACCATCCCTCCTGAGGGGTGATTTCTCACTTTCTGTCTCTCTGTCTTTCTCTGTCTTTCTGGTGAGCGCACGTGCCCTATAGCAAACCCCCCCCCAAAAAAAAAAAAGAATTATTTTATTTAACTTTATTTATTTCAATTTGACCTGAGAGGGACAGAGCAAGAGAGAGAAAGTGAGAAAGTGAGTCACCAGGTCTGGAACTGCAACCACAGTTGGCCATGTGAGAGTCCAGTGCCCTTAACCACCCTGCCACCTGTTGGCCCTCCTTTTATTTTCCATAGGGTGCATCATGTGCTTGCCAGAGAGAGAGAGAAAGGGAGACACCACCCCTAAGAAGGATGGCCATACCTCAGTCTGTTCTCCATTCTCTTGGGATTTGGGGCACACACACACACACGCCCGGCATGATTTTCAAATTGCCAGGTCCAGGACTTGAACTACAGTCAGCCATGTGGGAGTCCTGCGCCTTCACCACCACGCCACCTGCTGGCCTCCTGGGTGCTTCCCTGATGTGCAAACACCCCAGCTCTGAAGTCTTCAGCGGGACACCACATCTCTGAGGTTTCCAGTGTTCAGGAAGTGAAGGAAGCCACCCACAGGGCTGACCGTGTGGTCAAAGCCTGGGATCTGGTGGCTGCACACCGGGCATGTGTACGTGTGTGCCCCAAAGCACGGAGCGATGGAGAAGGGATCGTGGCATGATCGGGCTACATGGGAGGTGCTTTCTCTTCTCCCTCTCTGTCTCTGTCAAGCACTGATGCTCTCTAGGAAAAAAAATAAAAGCTATCTCCGTGGTCTAGTGGACAAGCCCAGGTTCAAGGCCCACTGGCCCGTGCTGTCCCGGGGAAGTCTGGGCAGCCCTCACCCACCTGTTTATCAAGGAGTGACCCAAGGTGGAGAGGGACTGTGGACCTCAGACCTCGGCTTCCCTGTCCCCCCATGGGGCCCCAATACATCCCTCAGTGACTTCGAAGAGGAATTAGGGGGAAGGGACCAGCAGTTAGCGTAATGGCTACGTTGCTAAACTCCCACGTAGTCGACTGCAGTTTGCGTCCCGGACCCGGTGGCTTAAAACTCAACGCCGGGCGGTGTGGGCGTGTGTGCCCAAGATCCTGAGAGGAGAATGGAGGAGAGGTTATTGCAGTATGGCCATCCCCCATGGGGGGTGATTTCTCGCTTTCTGTCTCTCTGTCTCTCTCTGCCTGTCTGGTGAGCACATGCATCCTATAGCAAAACTTCTCCAAAAAAAAAAAAAAAAGAGGAATTAGGGGTACAATCTTGGGGCTAAGGAGCAACCCGGAGTGGGGTGAATCCCCCAGCCCCCATGTGCTGGGAGAATCTGGCTTCTCTCATGCGCTCAGAGGGGCCTCCAGACCCCCAGCCTCCGCCTGGCTCCTACCCCAGGAAGCCAGTGCCTAAGGGGTGTTTGTTTCCGCAGCCAGATGGGGCTGTCATGGTGTCTTCACATGGATCGGTGTTGCCGGCTTCAGCCAAGTTCCGAAGCTGATGCCAAATTAAATGTCAGTCGCTTCGAGGAGGGTTGGCCGCCCGCCCCCCTCTCCCTCCCCGAAGGAGCTCGGGGAAGCACACGGCTGAGTCTTACACCAGACTCTGAATCCACGTGTGTCTGTGCTAGATGTCGGTCAGCCTCAGAGCCGCGTTCTCAGAGCCAGTGGGCACACACACTTGCACACTCTCACGTTCATCTCAGGCCTCGTGTCTGGCTCTGCGAAGCCCCCCTCCCCTCCTTCATTACCCAGGTGGCCTGAGTGAGGCTCAGAACTTTTTTTTTTTTTTTTTTTTTTTAGGATTTTAGGGACTGATTATTTTTTAACATTAATATGCTATACATCATTACAGTATACAAAATGAAGTTTTCATCCAAAATACATTGTCTG